TTGAGGTACCATATGTCTTTACCTAAAGCGCACACTTGTCCTGACGCGACGATGGCCATTTGGCACACGTGAACAATTATCCTCTTAGCTAATCTCAGCATGACTTCAATCTACATCGAGCCACCATCAAAAGCAATAAAAATATAGGAAATCTCACAACTCAATCAACATAAAAAGACCCAAGCTGCCAGAAAGCAAATACTCACAGCATCTTGAATCGAATTAGAACCACAATTTGCACGGATACTCAAATACACAAAACGGGCAGTAGCGAAACGATACACAAATTCGTGAATTCGAAGGCCAATGATACGATATACTTGCACAATGGATATTCTTACGGCACTGACGACCACCTGGCAACGTGAACAAATCTAGCAACAGCTGCTTCCGATTCTAGCGCTGATTTCTCAAGAATGTTTACAGTCTCCATTACATTCACATTTTCCACCAGCTCGTCCTCATGGAACTGACCCAGTGCAGGTTCGTTTAGGTCCCTTTCATCCAAATGCTCGGACCTCTCAAGGTCATGAACAGTCTCCATCACATGTACGCTTTTTACAAGCTCGTTCTCATGGAAGTGACCCAGTGCAGGTTCGTTCAGATCAATTTCATCCGCATGCTGGGACTTCTCGAGATCGTGGACAGTCTCCATCACATGTACGCTTCTTTACAAGCTCGTTCTCATGGAAGTGACCCAGTGCAGGTTCGTTCAGATCAATTTCATCCGCATGTTGGGACTTCTCGAGATCGTGGACAGTCTCCATTACATGCACGTTATCTACTAGCTCGTTTTCAACGAACTGGCCCAGGGACTCATTCATGTCCTGGTCCTGCAAATGCTCAAATTTATCAACTTGCTCTTTCACGTGCATTGATGCTTGCTCTTCTGGGAGAGCTGGTTCGTGGGAAGGCAGATCATCGTCGATCATGTCATGTCTTTTTTCAAACATCATCATTCGCTCTTTCACGGGAGTGACAGGTGCAATAGGCTCTGCCAAATCTTTCTGGTCGTCAGAAGGCTCCTTTTCAATGCCATAACTGTAGCTGGCGGTCTCTAGACGTTCAACAGGCTCTTTGGTCAGATCAACCGCACGCTCTTCGAAAACGTCGTTTTCATGAATAGGCGATGTGTTAGGAACGATGATCTTTTTCTCCTCTTCTTGAAGATAATACGAACCGCCCGAGCGTTCAGATCCCATACTGGGTGAATGAGGGGTTATCATTGAAGTTTCCTGATCAGGTTCTGATGAATCTTCGATAAGACTAGCTACGCAAGGTTCATCTGACGGCTCCGCATCATTACTTTCAAGGACAACTTCTTCAGATTTTCTGAGAATCGATTCCTCCAAATCTGAACTGCTGTTTTCGGAATCCCTTTCACTGTCGTCTACATCGCTGATGGAACCCTCTTCTTCAGTTGAAATTCTTTGGTCCGCATCGACAGCTTCATCATGAGACTTGTTCTTGTCGGCTTCAATGACAACCGGCTCACCAAGGTGACGTTTGAAATCCTGAAAAAGTCAATTTTCCACAATTCACATATAAACCAAATTCAGCAAGTGTAATAGTGTTCGTAATAGTAAAGCGCAAAGTTCAAGAAATGGTCACCTTTGCCTACCACCTTACTGCCCATTACTTGAAGCCATAGTCCATAATAATCGGGTGGAAAGAGAGTCATAATCCTTACTAGATTGCTTGCGCTCATTTTGGAAACATCCAGTTTTATAAATCGGACAGTTCTAGCCTAATCCTTTTACGAAAAGCAGCGCTGCTCAGCTTGGGAGGGGCAATTTGCACGTTTCCTAGTTCCCTTTGCCATTTAATTTTGACTAACAGGTCTCATTTTGGTGAGACCTGAAAACTCCTGGGAACTGCAAAAAGGTACAAGTGAGCTACCTTGGCTACAGGGCTTTACAATTCTTCACAATATGGTCTGCACAGGCTTCGCTGAATGCCATTTAGTTTCCCCTGCTAGGCCGAACGCACCCAGAAGCATTTATTCCTAGCCGGCAAGCGCTAGTTCTCTCATTGAAAAGAAATCCGGGGCAATACAGTTGGGAGTTCTGTGCTACATCAACTGCTTGTCTAGGCTCTCACTGAACACGTAAGTGGCGCGCATACAGTCTTGTTCGCTGCGGATAAGAGGGCGTGTCAGCGTGCCGCCATCTCGTCCCCACCAATTGCTAAAGCGGGCAGCCGACAACAGCTGGTTGAAAAGACTGATACGAACGGTATGATACAGTCTGTTAATTCAAAAGGGAAAAAAAGGTTCAAAACGAGTTGGCGCCGTCGCAGGCTGCGCTGACACGTCGTCTAAAAAGTCGGTTGGATTCAAATATGCCGTGACAAGACAAGTGAGGTGTCACATAAGGCATTGGGTGGCACAGTCGTGCGTAGCCTGATAATCGCATCCCCTCTCCCACGTCACGCCTTGAGGCTCCTTTGCGCTGATATAAAAAAAAAATAGAAAGGGAAAAAGAACGCTTTGATATGTGCCGCAGAAGTTACTCTATTTCCTCCTGGTGTACTAGAGCTCGATCAATATTGCACAGTGGTGATCATGCATGCTCGTACGACCAGGAGAGCTTTCACGAGCCGAGCGATCATTAGAAAAATCGAGTGAAACATCACTTTCAGGAGTCTAAACTTTACTTGTAAGAAAGCTATCTTCACTATCAGAAAGGGGCAGTAACACAAAACTCACAGCATCGTCACCTGTCACGTAGTCACAATCGCCGCTGGTCTCGAGTATGTTGGCCAAGCAGATCAAACGAGGTATTCAGATTCAAGTGCGTTTTTGCGGAGATTCAGCATAGGCAATCTAGAAGGCATTTACTCTATATGTCATTGTATCACTAAATAGTTTGCTTGATTTTGAAACTTAAAAGGCTTTTTCCTTTTTTCAGTGCAAAATGGACAACATTTTTGCGGCCATTTGGACTAGCTGGGGGCACTAACTGGTGGAGGCGAACTTGTACAGGCCACCTCATGAGGACGTAGCGATTTCTGTGCTAAAGGCATTTGGATGTGCGCATAGTATATGGCGTTTTCTTCAATTGGAAATTTTGTTCAAGACAGTGGAAACCTTTTGCGAGCAAGTTTGATATTGTCTGATAGGAAACTTCTCGTACTATAAGAATTATCTAAGGAGCTTTGGGTGAGGGAATGATTTCCTAATCTTTTTAGTCGTTGAAATTGAAAGTTGAGTCGACGAAAATTAGTACCTTTGACCAGCGCCTGCTATTTTACGGTCTCCTTCGAGCTGAGCTAAATCGGCTTAGGGAGCTGCTCCATATCATTTGCATGAGGTTGAGCTTACAAGTGCCTGTGAGGGAATTTTCATAGGAGCTTAATAATTTCACCGAAATTCGGAAGTTGCAATCTCCACCTCGCAAATATGGCAGGATCATAAGTCATTCGGTCTGTTCACTGAACTTTTATGGTAATGGTGAAGCTTTTCGTGTGTTTGTATGCTCTAGTAGCAATTCTGCGCTTTGTAACACTGCGGTGGAAATGTGTTTTCCATAGCTGTTTACTTTCTGTTAATTTCAGGTCGATGAGGAATCAGCATACCCGACATCTTCTCCCTACCGCTCTCCACGGAAGCTTCAAAGTCCCAGGAGCAGCTCAATAGATTCGCCATGCTTTGAGCAAAGCAATGAGTAACAGATTAAAGACAGCCCCCCACTCAAGTATACTGGTCGTCCTTCTTGTGCAGGGTTCAGCGCCAAGCTAGATACTTGGTCGGCACTCTCTGCAATCCACAGTGAGCGAGAGAGGCGAGCTTAAGCGCCGCTCAAAGTTTCTAGTTGCTTACGCCGCGCTCAGATTTTGGCGAAACATTCAACTATTAGCATAAAATTTCAAGTGGAACAGACGCGATGACTTGTGATCCTGCCCATTATCTGCGAGGTGAAGGTTGCCAACTTCGAAATTCTTGAAATTAGTTCCGAAGCGTCCTATGAGGATTCCCTCGCTGGGACTTCTAGCTCAACCTATTGCAAATGTATGGAGCAGCTTAAGCGATTTTAGCACTTCGAATAGACGTAAATAGAGGCAGCTGTCGAAGGTACTAATTTTCGCCGACTCAACTTTCAACTTCAACGACTAAAAAAAGTTCAAAAATCATTCCCTCACCCGAAGCTGTTTCGATATTCTTATAGTACGAGAAGTTTCCTATCAGATGATATCAAACTTGCTTGCAAAAGTTTCACTTTTTGAACAAAATTTCAATTGAAAAAAACGCCATTACTTATGTGCCAACCCAATAGTTCACTCGCACCATTCCGCAGCCCTACAACAACCAAAATGCTACCTGTAGATTAGCATCAGCGAACAAAAGGAACAAGCTAAAGCGCAAAATGACCCTCCCAAGCCGAAGAGCGCCAAAGGAATCTACAGCTAGTCGCGATCAACAGTAACGACCTTTATATTTTCCTCCTCGTTCAGACTTATTTTCACCCTTGGTTCTGTCCCACAAGAAAGAGGAGAAGCTCAGAACTAATATTTTGTGGGGGATGTAAAAGTGGATATTCTCTGCAAAGCCCGAGCACGATGTAACAGTTACTTGTGCTTTTTTCTCACAGAATATTGCTACGACATCACAGAAGGAAATGAACTTGTGGGATGAAAACGAAAACATGATCAGGGCATTTCCTGCCGCTGGGGGAAAGTTTTGTAAAAGACGATATCCCCCAAAGTTCCTCGTCTGGTACAACCCTCTTTTCCATCCCACGTAATATCGAGTTTCAATTAACTGATATGGCTACAAAAATGCTGTTGGGCAAGTTCATTACACAACCATTAAAAGTGAATAAAAAAAGGAACAAAATTGGTTCAACGCCGCACCTGTTCACGATCCGCAGCTGAAGGAGCCATTTCGCCTTGGAAAGAAGCCGCTGGGGTCATATATGCCTTGAATTGAACAAATTGCTACTTCAATACACTCATACGATTTAGCTTATGACTACTGCGATTAGTAGCTAGACCGCAGATTTTCACAGAAGTTTTCGTTCCGCTCTTATGCCCAGCCCGTCGCACCAAAATTTCACGTTGGTAAGTGAAGAGCAAAGACTAGCTGGACTTGCCATGAGCTCATCATCATTCGGTTCCGACAATTTAGTGGGAAAGGGATCACTCTCTTCAGGAAAAACTGTGCGACCGTTTTCATCCACGAACACTCCGTTCTTCCTCAGTTGCTCCACGATATGTTGGCGTCGTGCACTGTCCTAGAAATAAGGAAAAACACCATACCATTTACTTTGATTACAGAAGAGGTAATACCAACTATCTAGGTGATATTGAAGGCAGCGGACATGATTGCTGGGGGCAGGCGGTTGCGTCTCAGGGCACTTGTCAACCGGGAAGCCTCTCCTCTCTTTCATTTTTTCTTCCTCCTTCCTTCTCTGATCCCTCCTCCTTTACCTTCTCCCTTCCAACTACTGGACTGGTAGATGCCTCGTGAAACCCTGGACCCTCGCAGCGAGAGCACGTCTGGTTGACAACAGCCCCGTAACCAGGCGGTTGTCGCCAACGTCATTGGTGGCAGGGCTGACTGTGACCAAAGCAACAACCGCCCGCCTTCAGCAATCGTGCTCACCGCCTTTAGGTGTATCCCATTTCGTTTTCGTGCATGTAACCAGACTACAATCCTATAGGTTTTCCTCACCTGACTCGAATCCGTGTTATTCATGTCGATTGCACGCTCCAGAAAGAGGTGAATGTTGCTCATCTTCAAGCAGTGATATTAATGTTATCATTCTGAAGATAAACTCGACCAAAAGATTCCACCTTACCTTGAGATGAACGTGAATTAGAAGACGTTGGACTCGGAGTTTTCGGATTGAATGGGGACGCTGGTCTCAAACTAATCCACGGCTGTCTAATACTTCCACGACACTTGACAGGTAGGTGGTTAGGAGGTCGTGTCCTAAAAAATTTTTTCAGTCAGTCACAATAATTTCAGTGACACTTCTTTGCTTAGTATAGTTATCAGAAGACAAAGCAACTTTGTCATGTTAACAAGCAGTTCGCGCACATTGAGTTCAGTCTCTCAGCGTTTGAGAACTGTCGTCCTGTTTCCTTCCTAAATCCGTATTGTCTGAGACACCGGTAACGTTCGTTAATAGAAGGGAAAAAATGTTATGAAAGAGCAGCCTGAAATGCTCGGGAAAATGGATTATTTTCACAGGTTGGTATCGACACCTTTTTTGGAACTGCATGGCCACCCACTATATTCAGTTGTCGTAGTGGCTTATTTAATGCGATGTGGCCTATTACAATGATTTGGGACGGGGGGAGGCAGCCGATGTAAGTCCAGTGTTTTATTCTCCCTGACGAATCTGGTACCAATCGACCATAACCGAGAGGTAGAAGCCTCAGTTATCCTGGGCGGGAGCCAGTCTGCGGTTGCAAAAACTGATTCCGTAAACATGCACTCCTCCTTGAGATACCTAGTCGCAAAGGAAAAATGACGGAACTCTCGGTCCTCAACCCTGCATTGCTCGGCCCCTAAATCTGTATTGTATGTTCCTTGCGTGGCCGTGCATGGGTAGGATCAGAGAGTGATAATCCCGCTCATTCCCACTCTAATCGACCAGGTATCCTGAGCGATTTAGCTGCTCTGTATATGCCATCCCATTGAAGAAGATAACATTGGATACTAAACGCATACCTGTACTGATTTCTGATTACATTCCAGTTAATGGTACCATCCTGAGAACTCGATGATAACCTCCGTACAAGGTGGCAGAAGATTGAAAACCCTTCCTGAAAAAGGTATTCATCAGTTCAATGGCGGAACTCCAGTACGAAGCAGTTCAAGATTCAACAAAAAGCTTTTTGGAAAAAAATTCAAGTGAAGCCTTACTTCATTTCCATGGCAGGATATTTTGCATTTTCACTCACCGTTCGAGGGTTGAAACGAAAATTCACGGCATCTGGCGTACCACCGCGAGAGCTTGACTGACTCTGTGACCTAGCCGCTCTCCTCTTCAGTGTACCAGTTTTCCTTGAGGAGTCAACATGAAGAGCATATCTAAAACTTGTTCTTCTGCGATTTAAAAAGCTAGGAAAGCGCTTGCAGA